CCATCTTGAAGCACTTCTTGTTCTCGATCTTCGCGAGAGAAGAAAAAGAGAAAAAAAAACGAAGAGTTGCGTTATAACTTACATCGCGCTGACCAACGTCTTGCGAACCATCTGCCGGCCGTTGCCAAGGACGTCGAGTTTGTCAGTGCTGCTGACCGGAGGTCGATTCAATTATAGTTCACAATTAAAGCCATACCCCAATGTTCGATAAGGTTGTTGGTACTACGTGTTGTCGAGTGACATAAATCATTATAAATAATACCAACGAAAAAAAAAAAAAAAAAAGTCCGAGGACAATAAATCTCCAAGTGACAATTAAGCAATCGTAGTAGAGAACTATTTGGTAATCGTAGTATTATATCCAACAGGGAAATGTCTTGCAACCTCTAACGCAATGACAACTTCACGCGGTGCATATGCAGCCTAGTGCAGTCTGTCCTAATTAACCCAGGAAGGTATTTCCTCGTCGATGATTGCATAATTTTTTCTTTCAACCTGACAAAATCATTCGTCAACTTCGACACTTGTCCCTTTGTTTTCGTGGACGGCGCACGTTTCCATATGCTAAGTTCACTTTGGTAACGCGTCTGGGTCCACGTGCTGTCTTGTTGACACGCTCGATCATTGCCTCGGCAACCAAGCAACTTTTGTACGTCCGCGTAACGGCGAGTCGATCCACTGAAAAATGCTACAGGGAACTGTTCCTGCCCGATCTGTTACGATAAGCATCAACCGACATAACCAAATACGGCGAAACGATTTTGGGATGGTTAAATTTTCGATCCACATACCGAGCCAGGATTCGTACCTACCGAAGACGCAACAATTGCTGTAATTGAGCGCGTAATAGAAACGCGTTATGCGGCATTTCCAGGGAGAGCATACCGGTCGACCTTGAGAGCAAAGCCAATACCTTAACGCGCGATTTCCCTTTTACGGAAACACTCTGCTTTCGCGAGTTGTTAACACTTTCAAAATTCTCACGTTTACTCTCTCTCTCTCTCTCTCTCTCTCTCTCTACGACAGGATAAAGGGTCGCGTTCCTTTTCTCCCCACTGCACTATATCTTGGTGACATCCCACGTCATCCTCGTTGTGCGAGGTAGTCCGAAAAAAAAATTTGGGAATAAAAATTTAAAAAAATAATCCAAGGATTTTGAAAATGTAAAGGGAAGATCCGAGAAAAGCAATTCCTTTGTTCGCTCCTTAATTTAGATTCTTCGACAGGAAAGCCAAAGAAGGTAGTCTAATGCGAGCAGAGCGGCACGGAGCACGCGCGCCTGCATTTTTATTACGGAGGGTTGCGATGCATCTGCGGTCTTCTTCACGGTGCACGAATCACGAATTAAATTGAAGGGCAGACACGATGGAAGAAGAACCAGCCGCTCGACGGTAGATGCATCGCTATACGGATGCACGACCGCACGAATTTTCCTCTACGGAGGGAGTCACGATCGACAGCACCTACCAACCTACCTAGATACCCAGCATTTTCTCTCGTCCAGTTATTCCTCGGACCGATCGATCGACCCGATCGGAATTATGCGACCCGATCGAGGACACGAGTCCGTCGGTAAGAGACGGAGAGTCAGGACTTATTTAGCCGATTAAGCAGGGCAAAGTATCGTGAGATCCTAGGATTCGTCGTACTCGGTTCGATCCGGACAGGGCAGGGCCCCGTGAGAGCAGCACAGGATCCATCCGATTGGATACCGACAATTTTTTTATGGTAAACAGATGAAAGTCCACTCCGGTTTAAGCCGCCGTTGCAACTAGCTATGCTAAGCAAATGTAAATGCTCTGGATTTGCATAATTTGCCACGAGGTTTCTCCGCTTTGCATCTTTTTAAAAGCAAGCTCAGCTGACGGTTTCAGGGGGTAGCTTGTGACATCGATTGGCCACATGGCTAATTACCGAGGGTCATAACGTCTGTAAGTTACAAAGGGAAACAAGGACTGCCCAAACGTCTTCGGCTGGACGAGTGAAAAATTCCGAAAGTGTCTCGCGTGAAGTATTTTTTTCCCGAAAAATCAACTTGCTTTCTAAGAAGGCTCTAGGGGACCTGACCAGAGTCCAGGTATACGGGTCCCGTAGGGGATGTTCTTTTCCACCCGAAAGACAAACGGTCGGAATATATTTGAAGCATTTGTCCCAGGTGCAGGTAGGTAACGTCACCACTTGCCAACCCAATGGACAGTCCCGAAGGCCGCCGGTGAACAAACAGGACGTGGAAGGACCGGATATTTGCAGACCGAAAGACGGACGAGGACGACCAGGATCTTGATGACGTGGAAATTAGCTGCCACGTGGTTTCCCGAAAAGTAACCCCCCGCTTTACATAATATTCGGGTAGGCCTTACCAGCAGGCTACTATATACATATATATTTAACAGCCAGGAATGACCCACCGGACTTAATAGATACGTCATCTCCTCCATGGAGGAGGCTCAGGGGCCATCTATCTTAACCTAACCCCACGTCGAGGCACGAATCAATTCAGCCCAGATAAATCACCGAAACAGATTAATGGCCCCCGGCTAATTGCTACGAATTATCGTTCCAGCCTCCATCCAAATTCTTCCTGCCTCCTCTTCCTGTACCATGAATCCTCGCCAATTTTATCCTCCTCCACCCTTGGATCGATTTAATTGATTCAGCCAACAGGTAAATCCCCACGTGATGCGACATACACCAATGATAAAATATTATCATGGAACACGTGGGTGGACTCGTTTAACGTCATTCTCAATGAAACTACCCACACGTCAATCTACCGTGGACGGACGTACATGCGTATGCGACCTAAGTAACGTCTCGCTAATCCAATGCCGCAATTCCACTAACCCGTCTCGCTAATAATAGACATTACCAAACAGTCATTCATCCGCGAGTTACAAATCGCAAATGGCGATCTCAACAAGGTGCCAAGAAATTCTGTGAACCACCCTAAGGATCCTTCTCGCATAGCCTAAGGCAGTATCTCCGGTCACTACTACATATATCGAACGTACTTAATAGATATATATATATATATATATATATATACAAGTAGTTATTATCAAATTGCAAAATTTTTACGAAAAATTAATGAATCATTTTAATTAGTTGAAAACAATTTTTAATTAACATCCTTTATTTGCATTCAAAAGCAGACGGGTGACACGTCCGAGTTCACGAGAGTTCCAAGGTCACGGGTATTATTTCATATTGCAAGGACGCTTAGTCACACGTTACGTCGCTCATCATTAAGGAAGGTTAATGAATTTAAGAGTGAAATTAACGCTCGGTCGCTGCGCCACTCTCTGCAACCCGGAGAACAGGTTTGAGCAATTGGCGAAAATAAAATGTATGCCACTACGAAGACCTTATATAGTTTTGCACTGGGTACTGTACACGTACTTAGATTCTGCATAGTTAAAAGTCGTCATTGGTATCTCTTCCTTATATGATTTCTCTTTGTGTCTCAAAGGTACACAGGGTACGGTTTACGAACGTAGGTGGGAGTGACGTCACTTTGGGTTTCGGAAAAACAAATTTTACCGTTAGATACCAGAAGACTGGACCTTTCGTAACCTTTATGATTTACGCGTTACGTTACGTTCAAGGCGTTCACGTTTCTGTGTGAAGAAACGACGCGGTTCAATTTGAAATCTTCGTTCTGCATGGCTACGTTCAGATTTAAAAAATATATATATATACAGTGGTTGCAAAGAATAATCGCTTAATATTTACGTGACGAGAAATTACCGCCGGTGGGTTCAACGGATTCATTGGGATAAGCGAGTAGCCTTGAATTTTCGAATTCTTTAGAATACACGAGAAATCCTTTATTTATCTCTCGCGTATTTCTTCTTTATTATTTAACGCGTACCTATATTGTAATTAATAACGAGTTTCTAATGTGTTATTTGTGACCGGCGAAAAATTGAAGCGGCCTTGCGCGCACCCAGTAAATTATCTATTAATACACGGCGATAATCGTGCAGGGTTTGCTCGCGAAGAGCTCATGGTATTTGATCAATTTTGATCGAATCCATCTATACGGTGTACCAAAGATTCAATGGAACATGTAGGAACTCAGTAGCTCGTAAGTCGTACGGTAGCAATTTTCAGTGCGAATGATTTATTGAAAATTTTTTCAACGTTCCGCAGCACCTAGTAATTTTCAATCGTATCCCCCGTATAGGATGTCCTAGTGAGAAATCGAGGGACGTTGAATCTCGTTCCACGGGTGTAATTATGAACACCCGGTACGTGCTCACTGTAGAGATATTAGTCTCTGCTGACTTGGTACAATCGCTGCTTCCCCGAACAAAAAATCGACTTTTTACCAGCGCGTACGTATGAGACGGAGAACGTACTGTGTACGCGGGACGCATTCCAAGCAAAAATTGACTGAAATGTTTACATGATTAAATATCCGGTCATCGACATTACGTATTCTCGATAAAAAAAATATATACCGCTTAGAACCGAGTGATCCGCTCGGTGAAGCCAGCGTTAGGGTGATGAGTAATGGATTATCGATCGAAGGAACAAAGTCATTGCCCAAAGTCTCTACAGTCCGTAAAGCCTCGTCCACATGGGTAATTTTCAATCTATCAACCGTATACGACTGCCTGGGCTCTGCCCGAGCGACATTAAGTCGTCACCCATGTGGCGATAGGGACTTATCGACCACGTGTCCGATATAACCCGGTGGGTCGTTTGTGGGCGCCTTTATGATTTCTCGGGGACTTTTAACGATTCGCATAAATTCATACGGCTTGCGCAAGCGATCGTTAGATACGAACGCGCGAAAATCATTAGGGCATTGCCCTGTCGACTTGCTCTCTTTGAGCAGCTAGATGAATATCCGGGATGATATTCGACGGCATACAGCGTATACACAGTATGAAATAGACGTAATACAATAGCCGTATTTGAATGCTTCGAATAGTTCGGTACTATTGGAATACGAGAGTAAGCCTCAAAGGTATCGTTCGATTAATATCCTTTATTCGTAGAGATAAACTAAACTCTAAGTAGAAACCGTGGTTCATCCACGTGTAACGTTGATCAGGAGCGTCCTGGTTTGCTGGCTAGTTTATATTCAAGTACCGGTGTCGTCACTGACTTTTCACTTCTATCTTTATGGCGCACAGTCCTCTGCAGATGACGAATATTATTTTTAATAGCTTCGATATCGTCCTTTAATCCTTCCAGGATCTTCAGGGTGCGTTCCATCTCCAGTAACACGGGTCTAATCGACATCAAGATCAATAAGCCAGAGGTCCTTGAAACGAGCGTTATATATCTTACTGAGCAACCAAGAGTCCTGCCTCGTGTCTCTTTTCGTTGTATTGGCTTCTCACTCTGGCCAACAGGGAATGAATGTTGTTCACTTTCTTACGTGCGGCATTGGTCTTCACGTTGATTCTGATCATTTCAATGTTCATCTTCTTCACGTCCATATCGAAGCCCCATGCCTTCTCCTTGTACTGAGATAAGATATAGGCAAATCGTTCTATACTGGAGAAATAAATTTTTTTATTAAATTATTTTGATTTTTTTTAGGAATACACGTACCTGTTACGAAGCTTCTCCATTTCGTGATCACGTTCGTCAAGCTTATCCCTGTAGGCTATCTGCTGCAGGCAAAGCTCTTCGTACTCTATGCTGCTCTTACCCGGACCCAGATTCTCGACCTTGTCTATCCGTGATTTGATCCTTTCGTACCGATGCTGTTTGACGATGTAATTCAATCGTACCGTGCAGAGCAGCTCACGGTAGTTCAGCTGACGATAAATTAAATTCTGCACGGTCTTCTCAGGGAGCTGCCGTCCTGTCCTGGTGAAGACTGAGCCGGATGCTGTGGACCGTTCCTGGTTTATCAGCCCCAGGAAGACCTCGTAGTCCTTCAGAAGGTACTCCTTGTACTTGTCATTGTAATACGACATCTCATTGACCAGCTCGTTCTTCTTCTCGAGGACCAGGTCCAGCTGACGCTTGTAGTCCTCAAGTACTTCCTTATAATATTGCTCCAGAACTTCCTCGTTCTCGTCTTTATGTAAAGTCGCCATACGTGCGGTTACCTAAGAGGAAGATATTCGATTCGATCACTTTTCAATCGGCAACGCGCAGAATTAGAACACATAACCTTCCCCGAGTTCCTCAACACCCAGTATTCCAATAGTCTGTTTCTTCTTCGAAGCTCGGCTTGCTCCGGCACCAGTTCCTTGAACTTGTCGATCATTGCGCGTCGATCACGAAAGACCTAGAAGAGACGGGGAGGCGCAAGGATCATTAAAAATAGGCTCTTTTCCTGTATTAATAAGTCTGATATTTATCGATACCTCTGGAGAGATTTCATTCACAATGAAAAATGATTCCGTGTCAATGATCTTACTCGTCCCTGACAACTGTGTTGTTACGTGTTCTTCTTCATCTTCTTCTTCTTCATCCTCGACAGATTCTTCCTCTTCCTCTTCCTCGTACGGTGTAACCTCTTCATCATCCATTTCAATATTATCCAATTTGGTACCAACTGCTTCCATATTTTCACTCTCGTCTTCGTTCTCATCTTCTTTTTCATATTTCTCATTCTCTTCTTCTGCGATGGAAGGTATATTACTTTTTGCAAATTTCATCTCATTCTCATCTTCGCTTATAACGTCCATAACCAAACCCACGAGGGAAGGTTCGACGATGCCATGAAGGACACCAACACTGGACGAGACCTTAATGTCAATAAGCATATTATCCTCGGACGCAGCATCCATTGTATTTAGGAATGGTAGAAAATCCAAAGAAAAAAAAATTCAATAAAATAACACAAGGACACGAAGAAAAACGTTTTCATTCGAAAACATTGAAAATCGTACGAAACCATAATCGCAGTCGTCCATGAAAGATTGTTCGAGCATAACCCCAAAGAGAGTCTCCACGTAACGACAGATGTCCCGTATAAAGACTGAAAGACGATCGCAGGTATGATAAAGGAAAACGCCAAAAAAAATGGTAGGAGAATTATAAACGTAAGTCGAAGTAGAATAGAAGGCGCGTGCATCTAGCCAATACAGATCTCTTCTTGTTCGGCCCTAGGGCGATTAGATCGGATGAGCGACGGAGTGGGGTACCTGAGGTAGCGTGGGCCGCCACCGCTGCATTCCTGTAGGTTCAAGGATCTCTGGTACTGCATCGAGTACAGAGCCATCGGCGTGTGTCGCGCACACATTCAGTACCCCAGGCACCAGGCAACTAAGTAAAAGACATAGGTGTCCGTGGAGCACATGACTTTTCGTATCGAAGTGAAAAGCCCTTAATCCATTTTCATGAAGGCCATTAGAAAGACCAGGAGCACGACGAGAGATGTCTCGTGAGATAGGAAGGTCAACTTTTTCTCAAGATCAGCATTGTGACGTTCCAATTGAGGGCACGTCGTTCAGCTAGTACCCTCTGCCACTTGGCATTGAAAACACTGGCTGGTCCTGTTTTATAGCAATTCTATAAAGACCCCGTACCATGTCTCTGATCTAATAAACTGGATTAACTGGTAGACCCTTCCATCAGGTGAACTAATAGCATCGAAGATCCAAGGGAACGGGAGGGTCCAGGTAGAGCGGAGGCTGGGAGATTGTATACCGTGTATTGTGAGAGGTTGCATAAACTCGCCATGTTGGTATCGTCAAGGACGCAGGGCAAATCTAAGGTCAACGTCCCTACGGAGAATATCCCTTGTCCCTTGGTCCTTTATCCTGACTCTTTTATTTTCCTTTGTCCACCATTCTACCTCAGTGAGTTTTCTCTATAAGTTTCTTCTTCTTCTCCTCCTTAAGACCAGTCGGAGAATCTCATTTCGACCGGTGCTGGATGTCACTGCCATTAATCCCCCGATACGTCCACAGGGCTGCCGGACCTTCTGGGTCCTACGACCTTTACCTTTCACCGAGACTCTCGTTCCAGATTCCAGCCGGGCTTGGAGCACGTAGAACGATATCGGTACCGGGATCGACTGGGACCAAAAGTACCGGAGAAAAATCGGCCGGCTGATTGTGTGGAGGAGCACCAGGTTCTGAGAGTGGCATACAAAGTGTAAAAGGAGCCTCTCGAAGCCGAGGGTGTAAGAAGGAGGTTGACACCGAGGTCAAGAGGAACAAGAAGAAGATGGCTGACCCCGGCATCCAGGGCCCTGCGGGGTTATTCTATTTATATCCTGGGCTTAGCTATATTTAGCTCACTGGTCCCTACAGGAAAGTAAATGCAGGGCCGTAACCGAGGATGGGCCCCACTCGAAGGAGTCACCACTACGATTGTTATACGATGTCACTCGAGTAGCACACACGACCAAGGTACAATACAAATGCGCCCTGGTCAGAGATGCATCTCCTAACCATCGGAATATATTAACCCACCGTATCCTATACCTTACTTTCCATAAGCACGCAGCATCCATCGACAGAGTACTCACCCCACCCTGTATACCATACGGTAGTACATACATCTGTACATGGACCACACGAAATTCACTGCGTTAACCCGGTCGTAATTTTCCAAATGAAAAAAAAAAAAAAAAAAAAAAAAAATCTCGT